TTTCCGTAGGGGCAAGGGAACGAACGACTGTCTCGCGTTGCTTTCCACTGAAATTCAGTTGGCTTTTGCTAAAAAAGAGCAAATGGCTTCTGTGTTCTTGGATATTAAGGGGGCTTTTGATTCAGTATCGGTTGAAGTCCTTTCAGACAAACTCCACGCTTGTGGCCTTTCCCCATTAATTAATAACTTTTTGTACAATTTGCTGTCAGAGAAACATATGAGCTTTTCTCATGGAAACTCTACAGCTTCTCGATTTAGTTACATGGGTCTCCCCCAGGGCTCATGTTTAAGCCCCCTTTTGTACAATTTCTACGTCAGAGAAATTGACAATTGTCTTAGTGACAACTGCACGTTGAGACAACTTGCAGATGATGGCGTAGTGTCTACGACAGGGCTCAAAGGGGTCAACCTGCAAGGACCCTTACAGGATACCTTAGACAATTTGTCTACTTGGGCTATCCAGCTAGGTATCGAATTCTCCACGGAGAAAACTGAGTTGGTCGTTTTTTCTAGGAAGCATAGCCCAGCACAACCAAAGCTTCAACTTTTGGGTAAACCGATCACTCATTCCATGTCTTTCAAATATCTTGGGGTCTGGTTCGATTCCAAATGCACCTGGAGATCCCACATTGACTATCTGAGACGAAAATGCCAACAAAGGATCAATTTTCTCCGAACAATTACCGGAAAGTGGTGGGGAGCTCATCCGCAAGATCTTCTAACGTTGTACCGGACAACGATTTTATCGGTTTTAGAGTACGGTAGTTTTTGCTTCCAGTCGGCGGCTAAAACTCACATCATCAAACTGGAACGTATCCAGTATCGTTGTCTTCGTATCGCGTTAGGATGCATGCACTCGACTCATACGATGAGTCTCGAAGTGTTGGCGGGCATGTTGCCACTATCGGATCGGTTTTCGGAATTGTCCCTCAGGCTCCTCACCCGTTGTGAAGTTATGAACCCGCTGGTAATCGAAAACTTTGAGAAGCTTCTTGAGCTAAACCCTCAAACTCGTTTTATGTCATTGTACTACGTGTACATAACTCAGGATGTCAGCCCTTCACAGCATAATCCTCATCGTGTATGCTTCTCCGACTTCGGCAATTCAGTTAGTTTTGATTTATCCATGACGCGGGAGATTCGTGGGATCCCAGAACATCATCGTTCCATGATTGTTCCGTCAATTTACGCTGCAAAGTTTGGCCAAGTTGATTCCGCAAGATCGTTCTTCACAGATGGATCATTATTAGAGGCGTCCGCTGGTTTTGGTATTTATAACGAATTTCATAGCGCCTCTCGAATGCTTCAAGCTCCTTGTTCCGTATATGTTGCTGAGCTGGCGGCAATACATTATACGCTAGAAACGATCGCCTCACTTGCACCAGATCATTATTTTATTTTTACGGATAGTCTCAGTTCTGTCGAGGCTATTCGATCCATGAGGCCGGTAAAGCACTCCTCGTATTTTCTCATGAAAATACGAGAGCTTCTGAGTGCTTTATCTTTAAGATCTTTTGTCATCACCTTTGCATGGGTCCCATCTCATTGCTCGATTCCGGGCAATGAGAAGGCGGACTCACTTGCTAAGGTGGGCGCTATGCAAGGCGATATTTACGATCGACAAATCGCCTACAATGAATTTTTCTTCATTTATCGTCAACAGTCGCTCGCCAGCTGGCAAAATAAATGGAGTGAAGGAAGTTTGGGACGATGGCTATTCTCGATCATCCCTAAGGTGTCGAAGAGTCCTTGGTTCAAGGGGTTGGATGTGGGTCGAGACTTCATTCGTCTGATGTCTCGCCTCATGTCCAATCACTATTCGTTAAACGCTCACTTGTTTCGTGTTGGGCTGGGAGACAGCAATCTCTGTGAATGTGGACAAGGTTACCAAGACGCCGATCACATCCTTTGGTCTTGTGCTGAGCATCGTGGAGTCAGATCTGAGCTATGCGATTCCCTTCGGGCTCGAGGTAGACAACCTAATGTTCCAATTCGGGATATTTTGGCTAGACGTGATCTGGAGTTTATGAAACTCATATATGTTTACTTTAAGAATACTAACCTTAGATTGTAAGTTTGATTAACCTTGTGTTTAGTTTGTGTATTGTGCGTGTAGTTTTTTTTTTTTTTAATGTTTGTCTTCAAGATGAATAGAAATAAGTTCATGTTTTAGGATTAATTAAATATTTGTATAATAAATCATATTTCAAACCTCCTTCTCCCTTTCCCCATCCAAAAAATTGTAAATCTCCACTAACCTCGAGACGACCGCGAGTAATCGGTTCAATTCCTTTAACTCTAGATTTAAGACATGAATCATGTATAATGCAAATGATAACTCGGCTCTGTAAAGTTTATTCGATTGAGCCTGTACAAATAAATTAATAAAAAAAAAAAAAAAAAAAACATTGCAGACAAAATAACGTAGTTAGCCGTGCAACCAGAAACGCCTCACTGTTTGAACATACTAAGTAATTTAAGTTTGAATAATTTCAAAGAATCATCTATATGGCAAATCGTCAGGGTGGGCAGTGAATTTGACCGTTAGTTTCTCGGTCATAACTCAAAAACGGTAAGACATACCACTTTGAAATTTTCACCAGTGAAAGATAAGAAATCAATGTCAATGAGAACGCTTGATAAGAATGTTTACACCCATTTTTCTCAAAAACAAAAGAAGCCCTCCAATCGAATCAATGTTTATCTTCATCCGATAGGCCGAAGTGAATTCAACGCCATTCAAGTTTCAATGCATTAGGGCTAATTAAGAATCCGTAGCTCCGAGTTTGAGGTCAAGAGACAGTGTTAGATTTGTATCAATATCTCCTCAATTTGTTTCTCTTTGGCAAATCTTACGGTATGGAAACGTAAATACATTTAGATGTCATCTGCAGTAAAAACATTTCATTTTGTGAAAAAAAAATCCACTCGAAAAATAGAGGCAAAGGGCGGGTTGTGCTTAGTAGGCCCAACATTAGATCTAAGCCCTATTTGAGGGGGAGAGGGGTGTTTCAGAAGTTGTAACTGGTCATGTATTAGGTATAGCTTAATACGCTACGAGTGCTTCCCCCCTAATAATTGGTCAAAAATATACTACGTGATTTATGGATATCGCTCTTAGGGGCGATTCAAATATAACGTCCACTCTTAAGTGGAGAGAGGGGGTCCTAGAATTTGTGACAATACGTGTAATAGCTATTGACACAGGTGGGGGGGGGATTCAAAAATCGAAAAACTAGAGTATTTCAAACACTATTTGAGGAAGGTTTCAAAGAAATTCAGAGTTGGGATGAAATGCTATACTTATATCAACATAAACCTTTAGTCCGATAATTTATTAGCTAGAGAAAGTTCTGAAGAGGATAGATTGATAGTTCAGCAAGAGTATGGCAGAGTGAAAATTGAACAGAAATTGAAATTGAGGGAAGGGCCATTAATGCGGCAATTCTAATCAAATGCGCACTCCTTTACCCAGCCCATACATTTGCATGGATGAGGGGATTTGAGGTATGATTCTAAAAATCTGGCGTAAAAATTTGACCGTATGTTTCCCGGTTTCCCGGCTACTCTTCAAATTCCCGGTTTGCTGGCACCCTACGAGACTCAAATCTCACACCTGCAGGGGATTGTGCTGCCTGAACCAATGTTCTGATACCTCACGGCCAATGAGATTGACCCAAATTTATGTACAGTTTACACATAAATCGCATAAGTGCAGAAACTTAGCGCTGAGTAAACTTTCCTGAATTTTTCCAGCAAAAAAATCCCGAAAATGATAAAAGTCAACATTGGATTCACTCAGTCTATTGGTACTACTTCTAGACTGAGTAAAATTTTCATCAATTCTTCTCATTTTCCGGCAGATATTTTAAGGTTTTCCACGGGAAACATTGCCTCATTACTCATCGCTGAGTTCTTGCTCTTTTAACGATTTATGAGCAAACTGAACTCAAATTTCGGTCGCTCTCATTGGTCGTGCTGATAGAAGAGATGTAGCGTGTCATAACTGTGCGTAAAATGCGTTAGGCAACCGTTATTGGCAGCTTTGGAATCCAACCTCATTACAACAAGGATTGTATGTATGCAGGTCACCTCACCATTGTCTCCGATTGAATTCAGATTTAGTAGATTTAATTCAGAACTAAAAATCAAAAACAAAAGATGAGCCATATTTTGTTACAACAACATAGGGCGTCACGTCGTGACGTTATCTATTTTAAGTTTAAGACAGACAAAGAGATCCACATTGGGTCTAGCGTAGGATAATTTGGATACATGATCCGTCCTTTGTCTGATGATTAATTTTGTACAGACTGCAGAGATATACCATGTTACAACAATTGATATCCCAAAGAAAACCTCATCAAGATATTCTCATAGCAGTTAGTCCAGTAAGTTATAGAACGTATTTAACATGCTACGAGTATCATTTTGCATTAAGTAACATAAAAACAAAACTCAATTTACCGTATAATTTACAAGATCGGCAGTAATCGCACCATAAAAACACAATCAATGCTCTAGTTGCCATATTTGTTGGCGCATTCTCGAGCACGAGTCGTCACAGAAGGATAAACAAATTGCCCAGGTGCGAATTTCCCTCGAACCGGGTTTCCTGTCCAGCCAGAGCCAAGAACATTTTCCAACAATTTGTCTGGTTTTCCGAGCACGGGATGCTGCACATTCACCACCGCTGAGATTTAATAATGTAATAGCTTGCAGTAAGCAAGCAGTGACTGGGTGACATTACTCATTTTTTCCCTTCTTATTTCATGTGCATGATGATGGGCCTCCGCGCATACATAAAAAAGACGTGTTCCACATTGGTGCTTTTTGCAGTTCTCCCTCCCTCCGCACACACATCTCCGACAGTGAGGAAAGGGAGAAGTCGCGTTTTTCTTTCGACGCAAAACCACATTTTCACCTCGATTCACGTCGCTAAATAGTGTGCACTTTGCAGGTCAGTTCCCTTACGATCCCGAATGGGCTTGATTACTTACTTTGGCTTTGGATTTACAGGTGTAAATTAGAGATTTTCCACAGCACTGGAGGACACTTTCACGTTCATCAGAAAACTTTTGAAAGGTTTTTGCCTGCAAGACGACAGGTCTGTCCTTTGACGTTTGTTGTGTTTTGGGCAAAGGGTGCGCGGGTATGTGAGGGAAGTGCGCACCGTCCGCGAGAAGCAGCTTGACAGCTGGAGTCTACACAGCAGTGCAGGGCTGTGTTTGGGAGTGTCAGATTGAAGTTGGATTCTGGAAATGTCTTAAAAATTACAACGGATTTTGCTCTACCATTTCTGTATCAGTTAAAATAAACATCAGCAAAATGTCGAGCCAATCAACATCAGATATGCCAAAGGAAAACAAACCATCCAAAGTAAAGACCAGTGTTGTTTGTCACGATGAGCAGGATAAAGCGGAACTGATGGATGTGCTGCATAAGTATAATGACATCAAAGATGCAACACAGAAGGTTTTGGGCGCCCTGGCAATGATGGAAGGAGCTACCGCGAAGGAGATGCACGTTCGGTACAATCTACCGTTGGATTCGTGATGTGGTGTGATTAATTTGTCACGCGGTAAGGAGCCGAGATTATACAGTCAGTTATTTAGCTAAACATTAGCTTCTTCAGCTAAAATGTTTCATTGAGTGGTCCATTTTTCTACACAAGCAAAACAAGTTGATCCTGCACGCAGGTCATTTCATCGGTTGTGTAATATTACATTGTACGATGTACACAAAATTTACGAAAAATTTACATTCATGGAAGTAATATTGTATTTTGCTTTTTGCTATACATCAATATTTCAAACATCAGCATGAAATACGTTGATCGACATTATATTTTTTTTTTTGCTGTGTGAGGATGTCTTCTGTGTGAATGTGTATTGAATCTTATATTGAATATTGAATATAAAATCAAACTAAAAATTCGTACATTATTTTATTTTATTTCATTATATTGGCAAATCTAAGTTGGCACTCGTGGAGAATAGACGAACTATTAAAGTGATGATGGTTTTAAAAATTTTCCACGGAGAGCTATACGAGTGCAACCTTAAAATGCTTTTATTTTGAAAATGGAGCATTGTATTTAAATCTGGTTGTTGCTACAGTTGTAGAAAAGCTGAAATCTATGCATACACCTTAAAATCTGAAAAGAAATTATTTTTTCTATATTATATATCTATTGAGTAGTCCTTAAGTTTTCTACTAACGTAGCATTAACCAGATTTAAATAAAATGCTTCATTTGCAAAATAAGGGCATTTTAAGATTAAACTCGTATACCTCACCGTGTAAAATTTTGAAACCATAATCACTTTCATAGTTCATGTTCATCTATTCTCCACGAGTGCCAACTTTGATTTGCCAATCTCAAAATGCATTTATTTTGCAAATGGAGCATTTTATTTAAATCTGGTTGCTGCTACAGTGGTAGAAAAGCTGAAATCTGTGTCTACACCTAAAAATCTGAAAAGAAATTTTTTTTTTTCTTTATTATGTCCCTAATAAACGGGTACCATACACACTGAATCTAGCTCGGTAAAATCTCCAACAGCCGATTTCCGTGGCATTTACTTCTGCTGATATGTCTGCAAAATATCACAGATTTGGAATCACATAAATGAAGACTAACTAACTCATTTTTACCTTGTTTCAGGATCATCCTCGGTGGACAAAGCCGAGTCTTATCACTATCAACAAGGCATAAAAAGTAACAAGGACTAAGATGTGTTATTACTGAAAAATCCTGTTTGAAGTGGTCAGGACTAGGCATCGGTAGTAGATCTTACATCCCGTAACGTACCACGAAAAGGTGATCTACTCACGTTACGGGGAAAAAAAAATGTAGTTACTATTTGTCGTGACCGGTCACGGTTTCATATTATCGATCATCAAGCAACATTTCTCGTTTACTCAGATTTTGACTAATGCATTAGACGAAATTGAGTACGATCGACTCAGCCGGTGAGTAAGCCGAAGTAAGCGTGTACTATATCGTAAAAAAACGAAACAACATGAGTTTATGCCTTGTTCAGACTGGAGAGTTATAACATATGTTATAACGGTTGTCAAATAATTGCAACACAGAGACCACCATCAAGATAGCGCTATAACATGTTATAACTCTGTAGTCTGAACGTACTATGAACTAGAAAAACTCAGAGGGAGAGATGGGCGGAGAGAATGTTTTGAGCCAAATGAACTGTCATAATCTGAGAGTATTGCAATCGAACAGAACTTCAATCACCTTTATGTTTTGTGTGCTTCTCAAATTCAACTAGTTTTTGGAATCAAAAACAATATTCTAACCTAACTCATTGATTAATTGATCTTCGCCGGTTAACGAATGGCACCAAGAAATGTGCAAAATATTGCGATGCAATCAATTATTATTTTGCACCTAAATCGAATAAAAAATACAAGTCATTTGAAATGTTAGCTTCTTCTAGCAAGGGTTGCAAGATAATTTAGGAACAAATCCCTGCTGCCGAATTGTATTTTGTTTTCTCCGCCTATTTCTCCCTCTGAGTGTTTCTAGTCTGAACGTACTATTAACATAGAGGTAACTCTAAGACTAGAAGGTCCCAAAATAACGTGCTCAACTTTTTGGCTCAGCTCTGGTACTCTCTTCGGTCCCAAGCTAATCGATTCACCCCTCGAAACATAAGAAAAACCAATAACCCCTCATTTTATCTGTCAAACTTTCATAGCGAATCAAAACAAACATTGCGTAGTACTAGAATTTCGACTAGAATGGGATACGTTAATCGTTTGCTTGGGACCAATAGGATGCCCGAAAAAAAAATTACAGTGAAATTTTCAGTGGAAACAATGCTCTAACATTAATATTTATTGTCGACAATAAAAATGATTGTTATAATGTTGTACTCTTCCGAAAACGGCAAAACTGCTACCAACAATCAATACGAAACTAACGATTTAAAATTGGCTCACCACTTTAGTAGCCTATTGGTCCCAAGCAAACGATTAACGTACCCTATTCTAGTTGAAATTCTATTACTACACTATGTTTGTTTTGATTCGCTATGAAAGTTTGACAGATAACATCAGGGGTGTGTGGATTCATGCAGAACATGCATGGGTGAGTGAAATAGCTTGGGACTGCTTGGGACCGTTGTTCTGGTACTGAGTGAGCTAAAAATAATAATGATTTTCTTCGGGACCCAGTGGTCTTAGAGTTACCTCTATGCTGCTACCTAGCTGTACAATGAATGTACATAATAAAATGTTGTTACAATGATTTTTATCGTATTTTTCATTTATTTTATTGTTAACATGATTCGATCATGAACAATAATGAACAACTCTATTACAATAAAAATTGTTGTTACATTAAATATTGGTGTATTTTCATTGTGGGTTACTTCACGAACAATAAAAATAAATCTGATTGAAGCATGCAGACTATGAGAGGGTCAGCAACACTGCCAATGTAATTAAGATAGGCGCTGCTCGTATGGCTCTGGCTTTGACAGTTCGTTTGGCTCAAAACCAGGCAGTCCGCGTCCGCTCATATCTTATCCTAGACCCTCTCTAAAGCTTAATGGAGACCTTTTCAGTGCAGTCAATAATCATACAATAATAATAAAAAATTCCACCACTTGAAGATGTCAGGAAGGAACTCTCAGGTGGAAGCATATTTCATGGGCGATTCTCTCCAGTCGAATGCATTAACTTATCAACGACGCTCAACCACCAAGGAGACGTGACTTAGGGATATCGAGCGCAGGGGAGTTGGCCTGCATTTCTCACAAGTTCCGGATCGAATCTCGATCCATAACCAGTAAAAAAAGGACCACCCGTAACAGACATACCACCCCCTTCCCGGGGCAATGTTTTATTTTTTCGATTTATTTTTAAAGTCGATAAAGTAGATCTGTCAAGCCAACACATACACTCTAAAGTACACTGTTATTTTTTTTAATCAATAAATTCGCCAACCAACAGTAAAATAACAATAATATATAATGTTATTGAAAAAAAAATATATGGGAAAATCACGAAAATTTCATTGTTAAGATACTTAACAACCCCCCTTTTTTATTGTAAATTTTCCATTTACCATGAAATTTATTGTTTTGTACAACATAAATCAAGGTAAATTTATTGTAGACGTAACAATATAAATCATTGTTAAGACAATAATTTTCGTCTTATTGTTACATTGTTTTTTAATGTATTTTTGTTGTTATTTTTTTTCGGGTAGTCAATTAGTGAGCCAATTTAAAATCGTTAGTTTCGTATTGATTGTTGCTATTAATCTTATTGGCCACACAGCAAAAAAAAATGTAATATTGATCAACCTAATTCAAGCTGATGTATGAAATAATGATGTAATAGCAAAAAGAAGATACAATATTACATCAATGGATGTAATTTTGTTCGCAAAATCGATGTACATACATCGTACAACGTAATATTACACTACCGACGGAATGACCTCTCCCTAATAAAAAATAACCATAAACGAACGATAACCCAAATCATTGAACTATTCCACAAATGGTTTGGATGATACCCAGAACACGTCGTTAAGCAAATTAACCATACAATTTTTATTAGGGCTGTGCAGCTGTTTGGATGTAATATTCAACAACTTTTTTTTCTGTGCAGGTTCCTGTTTTGTGGAGAGTTCCCACCGTTTTGGATTTTAATGTGCAGAGTCAAACTTAGGTTCGTACTTCTGTCAGCTTCTGATCGAGATGGAAGGAGTGAAACGTCAAACGATAGCGAAAGTCCCACTCCATACAGTACCGATAGTTCTTTGGCAAATGCTCGCGTAAAGTTTATTGAATTTCCTGAGTTTTATATAGTTTTGTTGATACAAAGAGATCGTAGTTTTATTCTCTGTTAGGTGGAAATGAGTTTCAAATATGAATGCGGTGATTTTTCACAGTTCCAGGTAGGATTTCAGTTCAACATTCTCCGCTGGTTAACCTCTTGTCTCACACCAACAGCGTTCTTTGAAATCGCCGGGCTGTTGTGTAACCCCATCGTAGCGTCGATGCTTCAAAAATATCATGATACTGATTTTGCCGACTTTTACCTTTAAAATCATTGAACGGATTAACAGGAACAGCTGAAGAAGATGCGCGATCTGGACGACAAAATCATCTACACGTTGAACACATCCCTACCGACGGAATCGTTCAAGGGACAGGTCAATCCGGAAGTCAAGTGCCGCGAACTGCACAAACAACTACAATCGGGCTACGGAGATCGGCAAGATGCGATTAAGAAATGCATTCTGGTGTGTGCCGATACCGTGAAACAGCTGAAAGACAAGCGCGATGACAGCCGGGACGATATCACACTGAACAAGCAGTTTAAGACTGAACAGAGGAAGGTTGGTACTTTGTACACTGTGGGTTAGCTTTGAACCATATTAAATTTGTATCTTACTGCAGCTGCGACTACTGCAAGCCGAACTCAGCGTTGAGGATATCATTCGCGACCGAACTCAAAAAACGTTCCGGGAACGGTGCCGACTGTTTGTGAACTTTGACTCGTTATAATAGTGCGGACCTATTTTCTACACATTTGATAACAGCAAGGCAAGGAGAAACTTGTTGGAATCATCGCAATTCAGTTAAAAGGTGGAAAAGTATAAGAACAGCGCATTTAGCAGAACGCCGAGCAGCAGTTTAGCCGATGCAACGGCAATTCGTTAAACACAAAGTCTGTTTTATTTTTGTTAAACCAAGGTCGAAATGTTTTCGATGTAGTGAAATCATACAGAAGCAAATTTTATAACATTTGTTATAGTGTCTAGCAGCAGAAGAAAACCAATAGAAATGTCGTGAACGATTTTTTTTCCGTTCTGTAGTGACTAAATACAGTTAAAAATCCAAACTGGTTCTTCGTTTAACGTAGATTGTCCGAAACACCTGAACGGTTGTGAGAGTATTAAAATACTATTTAAAGCTCCGAATGGAAGTTGAAAAGCCTTAGAAAAGAATATTGATAATAGGCTCACACAAAATATGCCTACGCATAACTTAAGTAGTAGGTAAGAGATTTCTGATAAATTTTTCATTAGAGATAGTGAATTCATGCAAAACAAAGTATATTTGAATTGATGAGCCTTTTTCCATAGTTGAGATAATTTTTGTTAGTAAGTCATCTCATTTATGCACAACACATTTTAAATTATTTGTAGAAAAAATCGGCAAGCAGCGACAGGTTTCAAGCCCACTGTGTTAAACTCTTCTGTTCTGCACTCATAACTTTATAGTACCTAATAATGAGTACAATTTCACCAATTTTGAAGTAAAGTAGGTTAACCCATTAAATGGGTAAATAAATTTCCCACTAATGAGTAACAATTACACATTTATGGGTACCAGTTACCCATTAATGGGTAACTTTTTAACCCATTAAATTGATTAACCTACTTTACTTCAAAATGGGTGCAATTGTACCCATCAATGGGTCTTTCCAGTTATAGTGTGATGCACGGACGATGAGATTGCCAATTTAGCTAAATGTGGAATTGCTCACAAAGTGAGTAAAATTTTGCTACATGGCAAGTCAATCTAACTCATAATTAAGAATCGTTCACTCAAATTCGCAAAACCGTACGTGGACAATGAGATTAAACCAAATTTGAGTTCAGTTTGCTCATAAATCGAAAAAAAGTCCAGGAACTCAGCGCTGAGTAAACTTTTTCCAGATTTTTCCAGGAAAAAATTCCCGAATATAAGAAAAGTCAAGATTAGATTCCCTCGATCTATTGGAACACGGCGAATGAGAACGACCCAAATTTGAGTTTAGTTAACTCATAAATCACATAAAGTGCAGGAACTTAGCGATGAGTGAATTTGCCTCATGTTTAACCAGGTTTTTGCAGGATTGTCCAGGAAAAACTCCGCGAATATGAGAAAAGTAAAGTTTGGATTCACTCAGCCTATTGGTACTACTCCTAAACTGAGCAAAATTTTCGTCAATTTTCCTCATTTTCTAGCAGATTTCTGATGTTTTCCAAAGGAAACCATGAGGCAAATTTACTCATCGCTGAGTTCCAGCACTTTTGGCGATTATGAGTGAACTAAACTCAAATTTGGGTCGTTCTCATTCGCCGTGCAAATTTTTGAGGTTTTCTACAGGAAACTTGAGGCAAATTTCTGTACTTTAATGAAAATTTTAGTCAGTATACTAATAGACAGAGCGAAATCTCCCTAAATTGACCTCATATACGTGAAGTTTTCCAGGAAAAGCTCGGAAAATTTTACTCATTCAATGAGTGACCTTCGTTTTTGAGAATTTGAGTGAACGATACTCAAATATGAATTAGATTCATTTGCCATTTCTATGAGTAATCTACACGGCCAATCATACCAACTCAGCGACTGAGAATAATTGACTAAAAGAATTTTCTTTCCATACGAAATTTACTCAGATTTGGAAGAAACTGCAGTTACTCATAAGCTATGAGTAACTGCAGTTTCTTCCAAATCTGAGTAAATTTCTTCTGGAAAGAAAATTCTCTGAGTCAATTATTCTCAGTCGCTGAGTTGGTATGATTGGTCGTGTAGGTTACTCAGCTGATTACTCAGTTGCGAATTTGAGTGAATGGGCTCAAATATGAGTTAGTTTTATTTGCCGTGTTACGGAGTTAATCTGCCGTGTACGGACGGACTACTCAATTTTATCTCGAATCCAAGCCAAGGAATGGTGTCTACTTCCAGGGGAAATTTTCATTTGAACATGCTATCGCCCAAGTTTATGCAGCATCACATACTAGCCTTGATATATGGCTGTTGAATCCACTCAAATTAGAGTTTCATTTACTCAAATTCGCAAAAAAAAAACATTGTGGGACAGTTTTGGTAAAAACGAACAGCTGATTGTTTGTCGGCTCAACTATTGAATTATTAGATTTTTGTCACATCCCCTCTTAGTTTACGATATTTGATGCATTTCAATATTTAATTGAGTACATGGACATTACTTACACTTTTTGGAGGCGAACCAGCCCAAGGCTGAAAGCCTCCTTAATAAAGCTAAATAATAATAATAATACTTACACTTTAATAAACCTAATTTGGTGTATTTTTCGTACCGTGTAAAGGCGTTTTCCAAAATGGCTTACCATCTTTGTAAGACTTTTATTTATAATCACCATCTCTGGCATTGGAGTCGCACAGACTGAATTATCGGGACTTAATTCTATTCTTAAAAACTAGTTTACTAATATTAAAATCAAAAGCATCACACATATCATTGAACAGTCTGCAACATTTGTCGAGTGGATTGTTATAGCAATAAGCAGTACGGTTTCCAGGAGTCCACAAGAGGTACGTATTTCGGAGACGATGAACTGGAGCGTTGAAGTTGATATCCCGGAGCACACTACTGCAATCAATATGATGACTAATCATGTCAAAAAAATCAGTCCGCATCGTGCTCTTTTGCCGTGCGGATTCAGTGCTCAAATATACCTGTAAATGTTCTACCTTGTTTGACTCTTAATTCTCTTCGATCTTTGTTTGGACCCTACCCGAGGTAATCCTTCTTGGATATCGATTTGGAAAATTTATCTTCGATCCTTCAGATTCTTATAGTAATCTGCTTGGCAGTCGATTTGGATAACAAATTTACTACCACCGCGCCTAAGCGCAAAAGAAAAGGGCAGCCTCTTGATCCCCCTTCTGATGAAATTAATTTGAGCAATCAATTTGATTTTCTCACCGATGATGAGAATGATCCATCATCCAAGAAAAATTCTAGTAAACTTTCCTGGCTTAATGCCAAGAAGGAAAAGATTCCCCCTATTGTGATAACCACTTTCGATTTCCATGCTCTTCGCACTTCATGAAATTTAAGTTTTCACTGCAAATTGGCCGTCGGGGTGAATGTATTGGCTGAAACCTTCGACGGATTTAAATGCCTTCTCAAGTATCTTACTGAGAAGCAGCATACATTTTTTACTTGCGACACCAAAACCGAACGTGTGCTCAAGGTTGTCATGAAATGACTGCGCAGTGGTGAATCCCTGGATCAGATCAAAGATGAACTGGCAAAATTACTTGGAGTTGTGCCACTCCAAGTAATCAAAATGAAAATGAAATCCCGTCATGGCAATTCGCGCAACGGGATTTCTAATGATTATTTACTTCACTTCAAGTCTAGTGAATTAAACAACCTTAAGGCCTTAGAAAAAGCTAGCCTTATGCTCCATGTCCGAGTGAAGTGGGAATACTTCAGGAAGACTGGAGGAAATTTCCAAAACCTCACTCAGTGCCGTAAGTGCCAGGGATGGGATCATGGAACAAAAAATTGCTACATGCCTACTAAATGCATGAATTGTGGTGATTCCTCTCACACAAAGGACGACTGTCCTGTGAAGGAAGATCGTAAGAAATTTAAATGTTCAAATTGTGGTGAAAGCCACAAATCCAATTTTTGGGAATGTAAGACTCGCAAAACTATCCTACAATCTTGTTCTAAGCGACAGGTAGGAAACGCTCCACGGTTCCGAACAGGTAAAAATTCCTCTGCTGTTATTAACGGTCAGCGAGGAACAAATTCTACATTCGTACATGTAGGTACAAATATCAGCCCTGCTTCAAATTATTCATCTATAACTGCTCCCCTCGCTGCTAACAATGTTCAGCGAGTAAATGGAGCTACCTATGCTGCTACTGCAGCGGGTAGAAATCAAAATACTAACCAACGTAATTCTAACGGAAAATTTTAAAATTTTGACTTAGGAAGCATTACTGCTCCTAAAATGGAAACTTTTACAGAAATCATTAATTGACATGATTACTGATATGCTTGATGCTATTCAAACTGGAATTGAATTTGCGAACAATATTGTCATGACTTTGAAATTCAGCAATGGATTTTAAATCATCAAATATTTTAAATTGGAATGCTCGATCTCTTAAAGATAATGAAGACGAGCTATTTAACTTTTTGAGAGTTCATAACGTGCATAATTCCGTTATAACTGAAACGTTACTTAAACCTGACCATAAGGGACGCAAATTATTTCATTTATAGAAATGATCGTCTTGATGGACCTTGTGGTGGCGTTGCCATCATTATTCATAGACGAATCAAACATAAAATTCTTTCTTCATTTGAAACCAAAGTTTTTGAAACTTTGGGAGTTTCTGTTGAAACAAAATTTGGACAACTTACGTTTATAGCTGCCTATTTGCCATTCCAATGCGTAGGCCAGCAAAAGAATTTTCTAAAGGGTGACCTCCAGAAACTTACCCGTCATAGGTCTAAATTCTTCATTATTGGTGATTTTAATGCAAAACACCGCTCATGGAATAATGCTCAAAGCAATTCCAATGGTAATATTCTGTTTGATGATTGTTCTGCAGGTTATTACACTTTTCAATATCCAAACAGCCCAACATGCTTTTTTTCTGCAAGAAATCCCTCCACTATTTAGTCTTAACTGATTCATGTCAACTTTGTAGCCAACTGGTTACCCATGCTGACTTCGGTTCTGATCAGCTTCCAGTAACTTTTGAAATATCCCAAGAAATAATTTGTAGTCCCAACAGCTCTACTTTCAATTACCATAGAGCTGATTGGGAGCAGTATCGAACATTTATGGAATATAACTTCGATCCAAACATTCCTTTGCAAACCAAAGATGAAATTAATTATGCTCTTGAATCTCTGACTACTTCTATAGTTGCAGCAAGAGCTACCTCAGTACCAAAATGTGAGGTTAAATTCGATTCAATTATAATAGACAACGATCTTCAGCTCTTGATCCGTCTTAAAAATGTCCGTAGGAGACAATATCAAAGAACACGCGATCCTGCCATGAAGGTTATCTGGCGGGATTTGCAAAAACAAATTAAAAAGCTATTCTCTGCCCTGAGGAACAAAACTTTTGAAAATAATATTTCTCAATTAGACCCGAGTTCCAAACCCTTTTGGAAACTCACAAAAATTTTGAAAAAACCTCAAAAGCCTATTCCAGCGCTTAAAGAAGGTGGTAAAATTTTGATCACAAATTTGGAAAAAGCTCAGAAACTTGCTAAGCAATTCGAGAGTTCCCATAATTTCAGTTTGGGTCTTACTAGTCCTATTGAGAACCTCGGGATTATCTGAATATTTTCTCTAGAGAAAATATTTTTTTATGAATCCTGGAGGACTTGTTTGGACGAAGTAAGATCTATAACTAAAAAGTTTGATAATATGAAAGCTCCAGGTGATGATGGAATTTTCTATATCCTCATCAAAAACCTCCCAGAGAGTACCTTGTCTTTCTTGGTAAAATTATTTAACAGATGTTTCCATTTGGCATACTTTCCTGATATATGGAAAAATGCAAAAGTTGTTCCAATTTTGAAACAGGAAAAAATCCAGCTGAAGCTTATAGCTACCGCCAATAAGTTTGCTGTCTTCAATAAGTAAACTTTTTGAAAAAAATAATTTTAAATAGAATGATGCTTCACATCAATACGAACTCAATTTTTGCAGATGAGCAGTTTGGATTTCACCATGGGCATTCAACTACTCATCAAATCTTAAGAGTTACCAATTTAATTAATTTAATTCGTACAAACAAATCTGAAGGCTGCTCTGGAGTTGCTCTTCTAGACATAGAAAAAGCATTCGACAGTGTTTGGATGGAGGTTTGATTGCTAAATTGAAAAAGTTTAATTTTCCACTTTATACTATGAAATTAGTTCAACATTATTTAACTGACAGAACTCTGCAGGTAATAAATTATCAAAATTCCAAATCTGATCGACTACCTATTAGAGCAGGGGTTCCTCAGGGTAGCATTCTTGGGCCTATATTGTATAACATTTTCACTTCGGACCTCCCTGATTTGCCTCAGGGTTGCCACAAATCTTTGTTCGCTGATGACACAGGCAATTCCGCTATAGGAAGAAGTCTTCGTGTTATTTGCAGCAGACTGCAGAAAAGTTTAGATATTTTCTCTTCTTATTTACAAAAATGGAAGATTTCTCCCAACGCTTCCAAAACTCAACTTATAATATTTCCACATAAGCAAGCCTAGACATCCCTTAGCTCAGTCGGTAAAGGCACAGCTACAAAGCAAGACCATGCTGGAGGTGGCTGGGTTCGATTTCCGGTCCGGTCTAGGAATTTTTCGGGTTGGAAAATTTCTCAACTTCCCTGGGCATAGAGTATGATAGTACTTTGCCACACAATTATACTAATGCAAAAATGGTAAAGGCATCGAAAGCTCTCAATTAATAACTGTGGAAGTGCATCTAGAACACTAAGTTGAGAGCACGCAATAAGCTAATATGCCATACGCAATAAGCTTGAAATGCGAGGAAGAAGAAGAAGAAAGAACATAAGCCTAGAGTTTTCTTTTTGAAACCTAATAGTAGTCACATAGTCACTATGAACGGAGTTCCAAAACCAAGTGAAATATCTTGGATTAGTACTTGACCAAAAATTAACTTTTAAAGATCACATTGAGGGCATTCAAGCCAAATGTAACAAATATATAAAATGTTTGTATCCTTTGCCTGACGAATAAACTTCACATATTTAAACATATTTAGACCGGCCATGCTTTACGCATTACGGATTCAGAACAAAGTTTGAAGATGATTTCGAAGTTGCCTCCCTGGTACAGGGTAATATGGTGCAGATGAATTAAATTGGACTGGTTAATATGTGTATCAATATAATAAAATAATATGAAAAAGATCACTCTGATAGTTGATGATTATTCAAACAATCCTAGAAAATTATTGTAGAAATATCTATAAAGCCTTAAAAATGGATACTTCCCCGCAGAAAACTTAATTAGTCAGTGTGTCAACCATTTGGGGGTGCTACATATTAGCGATTTTTTTATATTTTTTATTTATTTATTTATTTATTTATTTATTCATCTGACTTTTTGTCGTCCAATTTAAATGGCGTAAAAACCCCATATATTTTCACAATACAGTACAAACATTACAAAACAAGCACATCCGTGAACATAACATAAAGTGAACATGGCTTCAAATATCAACTGTAGTCAAAAACATAAAAAAAATTATAATTCTATCAGCTTCATTGGACATCCATCAACCGAAGCAATCCTCGTCGGCAGTGGTGAATCGAGAAAAAAAGGATACAGGTAGCATAATCGTTACAATTTAGGAGCAATGCAATATTACTCACCTTTCACAATAACGAATCTCACTCGATCCTTTAATGCAATTCAGTCAGTCTACGCTTAAATGTTGCCACAGTACACACTTAATCTAGTTCGGTAAAATCTCCAACAGCCGATTACCTCGGCATTTACTTTTGCTGATATACTGCAAAATATCTGTTTGTTAACTGATATCTCAGCAAAATGTTATTTGTTAGCTGAGTCTCGGCAATTGTGTTACTGAATTTCAGCAAAATAAATTGCAGAACTGCTCGGCTGTTGGAATCTCGGCGAAAAAATTTAAGTGTGTAGAGTTGAAGTCGAAGAGGATGTAGACTTCATTGAACCTAGTCGACATAAAGCGGACAGGATCATGAAGGCCGTACAAGGAGTTTCGGGGCTCAAGCAGCAAAAAGATCCGCTGGCGAAGTTATCGTTCAGGAACGTAAAGGTTTAGTTGACCTAGTAACTCCGGTGCGTCAGTTTCTCCTGTGAGAAGTTTAGCTACAAACACCGCTTGGGCATCATCCCGTCTCTGCTCAAGCGTCTGCAGTCCCAATAATCTGTATCGATCTCCATATTGTGGTAGGTTTAACGGATCTCACCACGGAAGGCGTCGTAGGGCATATCTCACAAATTTTCTCTGAATTGCTTCGATCCTACCAGTCCAGGTTGACTGGTACGGGCACCATAGTACAGAGTTGGATTCCAGAATCGATCGCACCTGTGCGCAGTACAGAGACCGGAGACAGAGAGGATCGGAAAATTCGCAGGATATTTGAACACAAATCCCAGCTGTCGGTTGGCTCTACAAATATCGTTGTAGTGCGATCGGACAATTGTGGATGCTCAATGTCAGCATGTTCCGGGTACACCAATCAGCAAAACTATTCAGCAGCAATTGTAGAGCATAGCAGTCCTCGATACCTTTAATGATCATGTAGGGTAGAGTACTACTTCGGCCTAATCGCCCATTTTGGGCCTATCGAGCAGAAAACTTCAAATAAATCCATGATTTCAGAGTTAACAAGTCAATTATGCGTTTGGTACGATACTTTAGTTAATAAACTACGGTACGAAGTCAATGAGAACGTGTGATAAAGGGTGTCCACGATGAAATTGCCACACTATGAAATTGCTCTAACTTTTTAACCGTTGGGTAGAATTTAATGAAAATTTGGGTGGATTTAGTTCATAGTGCATTATTTACATCCTGCAAGTTTTAAAGTCCTGTGATCAAAACTCGCGGAAATGGAGTCGAAAGAACAGCTCGTGCGTGATAAAATTATGCGCATTCATCACGAGAACAAGGATCTCTCGCATCGTTCCATCGCTAAAACGTTGGGAATCGCGAATTCCACGGTGTCGCGAGTGATTAAGCGGTTCGAGGAACGGTTGACCACCGATCGGAAGCCCAGAAGTGAAGGAAAAAGTATTCCGTACAACACCAAAAATCACAACCGCGTAGTTGGGGCCTTCAACCGAAATCCGAACGCCTCCGTTAGGGATGTGGCTAAGAAGCTGCACCTAAGCCGAAGTTTTGTCCAGAAGGCCAAAACTAAGGCTGGGCTTCGAACGTTCAAGGTACAAAAAGCCCCTAATCGCGACGAGAAGCAGAACAAGTCCGCCAAAACCCATGCCAGGAAGTTGTACCTCAACATGCTGACGAAAGTTGAATGCTGCATCATGGACGACGAAACATATGTGAAGGCCGACTTCAAACAGATCCCCGGCAACCTGTTTTTCACGGCCAAGGATAAGTTCAGCGTTTCGGAGCATGTCCGCACTCAGAAGATGTCCAAATTTGCGAAGAAATTCCTGGTTTGGCAAGCCATCTGCACGTGCGGGAAGCGGAGTGCACCTTTCGTGACCCAGGACACGATGAACGGACAGGTGTACATAAAAGAGTGCCTCCAGAAGCGGCTGCTTCCTCTCCTGAAGGCCCACAACGTCCCAACAATCTTCTGGCCGGATTTGGCCTCATGCCACTACTCCAAGGACGTGCTGAAGTGGTATGCGGACAATAAGGTCAATTTCGTGCCGAAAATGTTCAACCCTCCCAACACTCCGGAGCTCCGCCCCATCGAGAAGTACTGGGTGATTATGAAGCAGCACCTTCTTAAACGACCTAAGGTAGTGAAGACAGTCGAGGAACTGAAGAAAGTATGGGTTTACATGCAAAAAACGGTTGATTCACAGGTTGTGCAGAATCTTATGGCCGGGGTTAAGGCCAAGGTGCGGGCATTTGCGTATGGAATGTAAATAAAATACGAGTAAAATGGTAAAATGAAGTTTAATAGTTATTTCTCAATCCCTGAAAATTTGATGGCAATCGGATGAAAACTCGAATTTTGCGAATCAATTTTGTGTGTGGCAATTTCATCGTGGACACCCTTTATGAAGGTTTGCACCCATTATTCCCAAAAACAAAAGAAGCGCTCCGAACGAATCAATTTTTATCTTCATCCGATAGGCTGAAGTGATTTCATTGACGTTTCAATGGCGTTTCAATGCGTTAGGCCGAGTTTAGAATCCGTAGGCCGAGTTTGGCGTCAAGAAGCAGTGTTAGACTTTTGACAATATCAATTTGTTTCTCTTTATCAAATATTACGGTACATACGAAAAGGTAAATAAATTTGAAAGCCGTCAGTAATAATAACATTCCGTTTGATGCTAAACTGCGCTAGATTAAGAAATGAAAGTGCGGGTTGTGCTTAATAGGCCGGAAATGGGGTAGTTAACCCTATATTTTGACGTCATCAGCGTAAAACACACGGCAGCCAGATGTTAGTACGAGAGAAAGCTCGTTGATGAAGAGTGAGAATAACAAAGGACCCTGTGGCACGCCAGATAAGTTTGAAAATTGTTCCGAAGATTCAAATCCGATATTAACGGTGCGGCTACGATCCGTAAGGTATGATCCAAACTAAAGAGCCTGAATTTATAAAGAGACGACATGCCAAAATTGGAACGATTGTCTGTCAAAGTCATAGGAAAAGTCATTCCAATCGAGCAGAAGACCTGTCAAATGGATAAGTTGCCACCTCTTTATACATTCAGGCTCTTCAATCCAAACCAGCTAACATTATATGAAATGTGCTATAAAATAAAAGCTTTGCACACTGAATCAAAAACAACAATATGTTTTTAAATGGTCTTTGCGAAAATGGAGCATTTATGTATGGTTAACATTCCGAACATAAATAATCACAAGAAACCAGTTCCCCCAAATCCCCCTCAATGGTTCCAACTCAATCGGTTTCTTCAGGGTTAGGGAGAGATGAACCAGCCTCTGGCTGAAACTCTCGCTAATAAAGATAACCTAACCTCTTCAGGGTTAAATAGTTGGTTTCTTCATAGTTTATAATCTTCTACCAATGTCCACATGGGAAGTTTCAAAATCTCCTGTGATATGAGTAGCGTGATTTTCATTTTTTAACACGGATTCATAACTGGGCGTTCCAAAACTACGAACCTGCTGTGCCTAACGTATTACATCACAGACAGTTTGATTGCTCGGACGCAAACGGGCGTTATTTACACAGATCTTACGGCAGCTTTCGATAAGATGATGAACCACGAAATTGCGATCGCTAAGCTTGATAGGCTAGGGATCGGTGGAAATCTTTTGAGATGGTTTCGTTCATACATCACGGTGCGCCAACTGACAGTAACTTTGGGTATTTGTCGCTCAGCAAGCTTCTGCGCAAAGTCCGGAACAGAGAACAGAGGTTCAACTTCCGGAAGAAACTTGTGTAAAGATAAGTGGGAACGTTGCTGTTACTATGCTAGTATCGATAAATTTTCGGTTGAAAATTGCCACTTGGCGCTACCAGCACTTAGTTTCTAGTGTAAGTTGTGCAACGCCAGCGCCATCAGGTTGTCAAAGAGGGTTTATAAGTGGGAAAGTCGCCGTTAGTGGCGCTTAAGTCGAATAGGAATTTTTACACTATTTTTTAAAGAAATTTTGTTCGAGCCTGAACGTCTGTTCTCTGTGGGCATCGGCGTAGCCAGAGAGGGGCAGGGGGGGTCGACTGCCCCCCCTAAACTCAGCAACACAAAGGATTTCGGGGAAATGGCGTTCGGTGAAATGGCATTCGGCCAAGTTTTCCATAGTAATTTTTTTTCGCCCCTCCCTACTCGAAATCTGGCTACGCCCTTGTCTGTAGGTATACCTCAATGTAGCGATCTGGGACCATTGGTATTTCTAATTTACTTCGACAACGTTCACCATGTTATCACAGGGCCACGATTATCGTTTGCAGACGATCTGAAAGTTTTTCTGCGGATTCGCTCACTCGCCGACTGCCGTTCTCTCCTAAATCAGATTGGGATCTTTGCTGACTGGTGTAGTCTAAACCGACTGGTGGTCAACCCAGCTAAGTGTACAATCATTACTTTCTTACAAACTACTCAAATCACGGTGTTTCGTGGAAACCCATTAATGGGTAAAAATTACCCATTCTCAAACCCTGTATGGAGCTGTCAAAAAATGGAGGAATTTTGAAATCCTAAAATGGGTGAAAAAATACCCATTTAAAGAATCAATTCACGGTTGAATAATGGGTATATTTTTTACCCATTAATGGGTGAAAAAACCGAAATTTTATCGTCTCAAAATGCAAACAGTTACTGTCCGCAGCATAATTAGCGAAAATAGTCGAGCTCCGGAAAATCCGAAACATTGGAGAGCCTTACGGATAAGTCAATACAAATTATCTTATATGGTATTATAATTTTTCGTGTAATAAAATTTGATCGGAACACCTGCATTTATTTTCAATATAACAAATATCCAAGCGCTTGCATCATTCATTTGAAAAAATGGATATTTTTTCACCCATTTTACGGTAAACACAATTTATGAAAATGGGTAGAAAAACACCCATTTATTGACAGACCACCCATTTACCCATTAATGAGTAAACCATAGTTTACCCATTAAATGAGGAGGGGCACTTTTAGCGGAAATGGGTGTTTGTATGCCCATTAATGGGTTTTCGCGAAACACCGTGTAGGCACGACTATCGAACGGGTGTACATATTGCGTAAAAGACTTAGGCGCTTTTCTGGACTCAAAGCTGACATACTCACACCATATATCATATTCCAGAACAACGTGTGAAAAGGACATACAAGCTTTTTGTAAACAAACCTTCTTATGCCCTTTTCTCGCCACCCATATGACACCAACGCAAACCTTTAACATCACCGGGTAGGGGACACTTTCCCGTTCCCGATGATATTCCTGGTTTGCGTGGGCGACCCTCGGTTGGCGAGAAAAGGGCCTACAAAGGTTTGTTTACAAAAAGCTTGTAGGCCCTTTTCACATGTGGCTCTTGAATATGTCGTCGACAAAGCGTCCAGAACTCTTGGCTTTGACTTCAAGATTACTAAGAACTTCACAGACATTTACTGCTTGAAATCGCTCTATTGCTCTAAGCTGCCTTGGAGATACCCACTTCGTCTTCCAAGCTACGATAATCGCTGCCAATTGATCAATATCGAGCCCTTACGTATTTGAAGAGATGTTTTCAGAGCCTTAACCGTCGCCGGTACTCTGCAAGAAAGAATCTACTGCGAAGCAATTCTACAACAAGTGAACATTAATGTTCAACTTCGATCACTACGCAACAGACTTATGCTAAGACTTCCACTTCTTCGAACGAATTATAGCTTAGGAAGCGCTATTTACGGCTTGCAGCGAGTGTTCAACCAAGTAGCGTCGATGTTCGATTTCCACTTGACACGGAATATGCTTCGTCGAAGATTTTCTGCTTTTTTTCTGACCGAAGGCGCTTGACGCCCAACAGCTAAGTGTAAAATTTTAGACTTATACATTTTTAGTAACTTGACAATGCTTTCCTTGATATTTTCGTTTGTAACTGTAGTAGATGTATTTAGTCTGTATAATCTGTATTTTTTTACAACACATCATTGGGACTATTTCTAGTCTGTTATCAAATAAACAAATAGACAAATAAACCCGTTCCAAATTGATATTTCGTTTCGATTATGTCCAACTAGGTGACCTTTATGAGCTACAAGTAGAAGGACATCGTATGGGGTGAACACCGTAGAAATGTAGTTACGGAAGCTATGAGACTCGACTCTCCAGATGTCAGAACTATGATGCGAATTGAATGGTTTTAAAACTCCAATAACTTCCGATTCAGCTCCCATCAGCTCAAATGCGCTTTGTCATTATCACATGATCAAGATCCTAGCGGCTGAAAAGTTTAATTATAACACCGAAAGTCATTTCCAGATATGTAATTTGAACTAAAAAACTTTAACGAACAATGGTCGATAGGTTCCAAGGTCTGGGTCAACAAGTCACACTGGATACAGTCAGTGCTGTGCAGTTAATACTGTTAATTGAATAAACGTCAATATCGAATTAAGTATATGAAAATCCACACAAAATCCCTGACATCGTAAAATAAACAACTGAAATTTGTCTGGTAACCGAACAAACAAACTATCGCTAGGTATTTCTTAAGTATTTTGAAATATTTCCAGGTATCTATAGCCTATAGGTATGTCGAGAGAAATACAAAGTTTAAAGTGGGATGCCCCTAGGCTAGGACCGTTTCTTCAGTAATTTAACAAGGAATTCGGATAAACTTAAACATCATATCATCAATCACATATGGTTATGGTTCGGCTCAATGTTTATTCAGCTTTCTCACTAAAAAACACTTATACTCTTTCGTCGATAGTCACTAAGCACAATATGAAGCACACTTATTCGCCATCCAACGCTGATTGGTAGTCAACTATTAACTTCGGTATGCTAGCTTTATGATGTTCTAAATTCACTCATACAGCTAGATAACCAAAGAGAACTTTGACACCGATTATATAGAAAGGAAGATCATCCGTTTTATGGCACTCGTCGTCGTCGTCGTCGTTGGCATCGTCGTCCACGTTGCAGGCAGGTCTACACCATATCACCGTAACGCATGTTCACTCCAAACAGAGAGGTGATATCACACGCCTACAACCGACGAGTGAGGCTATCTCCCACAAAGTGTTGCAAACTTCCGAAAAGCAAAAAAAAAACTGTTTCCCCTTATCGAAAATCAATCTGAAACGAAAGTGGAAAAACGATAAGAAAAAATGCTTCACTTAATATATTGCAGGAAAGCGAGTTGCTGCAAAGAGGAACATCGGCAAATTAGCTGATAAGTGATAATTATTGTTATATTTGTAGCGCGATTTTTTTTTTCTTTTCATCGGTCAACCTGATACATTT